AGAGACTGCACTTTCATGCTGAGTCTCTTCAAGATCAAGTTGAATATCCCGTCAAACCCGGAAGCCTTCATGTTCTTGGTGCATTTCAGCACTGAGCAAATTTGTTGTACTGTAATCATATCCGCCGGAGGCACGACACAAGGGGAGGTTTTGAACGCATTGCGCAACCTGATCTTCGAGCGGACTTTGGATATTGCGATGAAGCGACATGCTCGCCGATCACATTTGCTTTCTCCTGTGGAGTGATTAGAAGCCGATCGTCATCATTTTCGACTCTGAGAGGTGGAATGGGTTTGGGATGAGCTTTCAGGACCTTGGCTACCTTCCAGAATGGTCTAGAGCGGTCGTCCAGATTCTGGACAACACGCCCGAGTCCATTCTGGAAGCAATCTGCCTGTTCAGCAGATCGGCCATTTCACGTTTCCTCGCTAGATCTCCAGTCCTCTGAAACTGGCGTCTACGAACATTTCTCGAGCGAATCAAGAGTTGGATGTGGTAATCAATAGCAATAAACTTACCCCTCACAGGAACTCGTCGGACGCACGCCTCGTCAGCCACGGTTATGGCTTGGTGGAGTGCCTCCAACGCTCGGTCGATGTCCTCCATGGTGTCAAGCGGCGGGTTGTCTATGATGTGCCTGTCTACCACGCGTCCAAACTGAGTCCAGTTTACGCGGCGGTAGTCCTTCTGCAGACTTGGAGCAGGGCCCACGTTGTAGCTCAGTTCAGCCACCACCGGTTGGTGGTCGGAGCTGAGTTCGTTCAAGGCTACCGGCTTGTACAAGCCGGTATTTGTCAGGAACAGGTCTAGCGTCGATGGGTTGCCCGCCGGTGAGATGAATGTTGGCTCATTAGAAAACCAAACAGAGTACAGCCCATGCTGTGAGTGGTCGAACAGAAGACGACCGTTCTGGTTCTGCCGGTAGTTCCGCCAGGCCTCATGGCGAGCATTCAGATCTCCTCCAACTACGAAGCGGAAACTGCTGGCGGCACACTGTCAAGGGCAGTAGACGGCGATGAACTGGACGTATCCAGTCGACGACTCCACCTCCACACCAAGGGCCTCGATGATAGAGGTGCGGATATAAGACAGAGTGTGGTATTTTATTCCTTTCTTGACGACGACCGCAACACCACCCCCCCTGGAGCTGGTGCGATCAAGCCGGATAATGTTGTGGTCAGGCAACCGGAAGCTGTCGCCGGACTTTAGATGGGTCTCGGTTAGAAGGCCCACGTCGATGCTGTGCTTGCGGAGGAAGTCGGCAAGCTCAATCTCTTTTGCTCTTACAGAGCAAGCATTCCAGGTGACGATAGTTAGCGGTTTAGACGCCATACTGGATGATGAACTTACCGAGCACTTGGATCTGTTCGGGTGTATTGCGGCACTTGCGAAGAGCACCGGACATGTTGACGAAAATATCCATCAGTTCGTCCGCTGAGAACAGATCGGGGTTGTTGTTTTGCGCTGTTGTCTCCAGGTTGTCTCCAGAATCCAGGGGGGATGGAGAGCTTTGGCCAGCAGAATCATCGGAAGCTTTTTGAGGGGGGCGGGTTGCACCCGCGAATTCCCTTGCCTTTGCTGGGGAGCACGAAGAGGCGGAAAATCCTCCGTCCTGAATGCTGGGTTTTTGTCCTTCTTGCGTCCTGGTTGATTGTGGGGGCTTCTCATCGGGGATGTCGTGCGTGAAGAATTCCGCCTTGTTATCCTTCAGATATTTCACGGCCACTTCGTACTCCGCTTTCGGTCGGAGCATCACCTTGGTGCCGATCCTGCCGAACTTAAACTCAGCTGCAACGCCCAGCGATGAGAGATCGCCAATCAGCGTGTTGAGTGGTACTTGCTTCACCACCAGTGGAGGAAGCTTCATTTTTGCTGCACTTGGGCTGGCAGCAGTTTCGTTGTCGACGGCGTCGGCAAAATCACCAATGACGCTGACGTTCGTCGCGGTGGCATCGTCCATCCACTAGGTACACTCAAGCTATCCTCACCGCTGTTCTTCTTCTCCGTTTTCTCTCGGAGCCTGCTCCGGAAGCACTGTCTTCCCATTACACGAAGCGACCGACACTACTGACGACGCGATTAAACTGCGAATGTTTGGAACAAACTAGAAACTTTAGAACAACTCGACAGAGCGAGCAAAGACCGAACTGTACTGCTTGACGTTGGACGTCAGAGAATCGCAAAGAATCCTTTCTCTATGATGCACGGTATATGCATTTACAGTGCAGATTAATATTGTCTATATGGATAATGATTAATTATTTCCACGTGTGGAATTTATAATTCCACTCTGGGGGAATCGTCCAACGCAGGAGCTTCACACTGCACGACCTACTCCGGCGACGGTCGACCTACGAAAGAGGAAGAGTGAAGCAGTAGCAAGCTGTGATTGCCTCTGCCGAATGTTGAAGTCGAATGAATGCATGATGTTCATCCATTTGAAACTTAACCGAGGGATAAGACATCAAGGGTATCCGGCTTCGTTAGGGTGTACTCCACACCACGTATGCCAGATGATCTAGGTTCTCCAAATCGTCCTGCAGTTCAGATGATTTGTTTTACTAGATCAACAAAGACTAGGATAATATCTGTAGTATCGAAATATCGATTTGGAAATCCTAGAACATTTGGCATACACGAAAATAGATTGCCATGATCCACATAGACACTTTGAATCTGTTTGGACATATTTCGATACTACAGACATTATTGCAGTCTTGGTTGATATAGTAGAACTAATCAACTGAACTGCAGGACGATTTGAAGAACCTAGAATATCCGGTATACATGGCAATAACTTGCATATATACGATTCGTTTATGATTTGACCACGAAAAATGCTATGTTCATATTGGAAAAAAAAGGAAAATGTCTCAGATTGGAAATACCTCAGGGAATTTCCGTGTAAATCCGGTGTGACTTATGGAATTGAGATAATTTCTCAATTATTTGCAGGGTGTTTGGTTTGAACCGGTAAAAAAATTGTAACAGCCCTGCATTTAGGTTAACATCTGACGCCCCTCCTTCTTTACATATTCTGCACAAAACATACTCGCTAAGTCCCACCCCTGACATGATTTCCGCCTTTTTTGTTTTATTAATGTTGAGGAACATACACTGATAAATTAAACTATTCCCATTTTGCTTGAACTTTAAACAATTTGACATTAAACTCAGTTTAATCAAATCGAATGATTAAAAATTAATACTCTCTTTCTCAAAAATAAGCATCTGATATTAGTCCCAGTTTCATCATGGTTGATTAGATTGAAGATTATCTTTTTTGAATAAATCTCAATCAAATGATTATATTTAAAAAAAAATATTGAATTCTAATCTTTTTTGATTATATATCAGTATTGAAAAAGAATAAAATTAAATACTGGAAAGATTATTTCAAATTTAATCATGACTCGGACTCAATACGGTGAAGTGGGAATCTGCATACTTTTTAAGCTTATTTGATTTAATTTATCTTTGAGTGTATATGTTGGACTTGAATAATATTTGGATTTGTTGCCTAGTTCCACTCTGGAATCCTGCAACAAACTGCATACAGTACTTGTTCGCTAAGTGGGCTGAAAGCGCAGCCCAGTTAACGAATTCCACTAGCTAACTGGGCTGGCTTGTCAAACGTCAAAAAACATTGAGGGGAACACCAATGGATTGTTTGATCGACGATAACAAAAATTCACGTGCATTGAATTGAAACAGTGTAAAGTTTGTTATTGTTATTTTCACAGCATTCAAACTCGTGAATTTAGAAAGGCTTAACCCTTTCATCTTAAAACGGCTTTCAAGTCTTGGTTTCAGTGTGAAATGAAAATAATTTCAAATTTATTTATATTAACACTTAACATTCCATTCGAATGCCCCTCACCAATTATGACAATGAATAATCAAACTAAATGAGACGTCCATTTTTGACGTATAACTGCTTTTTAACTGGGCTACAGCAAACAAGTGCTGTACATGAAAACTCACTAAAAAAATGTTTGATTTTCGAAAAAAAAAAAATTTCATTACAATTTCCAATAATTTGTTCCAATAAATATAAGAGGTAGAAAAATAACTGAAATAAATTAAACCCTTCGCTCACAAAGCTTGGCTGCCCATGCAAACTAACAGTATCATCAGGTACACGGATAGAAATCTCCTTATACCTTTTGGCAAATTTCTATTGCTGATTATTCATAAAATGTATAAGTCAACTAATAAACAGACGCCTTGCAAAAAGTTAATAAAGATCATGTGTCAAATGAAATGTATAAGCGGTCACACATACCTTTTATGCATTCTAATAGGACCTATGTGGTTTGTCTTATGGAATGTATAAGGCTGATGCTTTGGCAAAAATGTATAAGTGAAACACATGAATTAAATAATTGATTTTCGTTTCGTGTAGGAGAAAGTTTCCAAACTTACATACCTTTTGATTAGCAATGCTGATGGGCCCTTTTCTATTGTTGCTCCAGAAGTTATGATTTGAAACATTCTTTTGTAAAGCCAAGCCTACTTTGCAGAGAAAATACATGTCAGTTCAAACAATAATCTCAAATATTCGAATTTCTGTTCACTGATTCATTCAAAATGATTTATCAGCTCTCATGAACGCAAAACTGTTCATTATCAATTATTCATTAACATTTAAATGTTCATTTTTAGTAAATATTGCCCCGTTCTCCTGTCAAATTTTGATCAGTGCATGAACTCAAATTCATCGGTGCATTCGTACATTAGCAAATTAAGTGTGTGAGAGCAGTCTCCCTGGCGTCGATAGCAAAAAGGACTCACGCCTAATTTTTCAAAACTTCCATATAACGTCGATTAGCATGTAACTGCTCAAGAGGTGAACATTGATGGAGACGCTTGATGCATAATGTATTCGTCGAAACGCTATCGAAGGTTTGTCACTTCTACGCCGTTCAAGTCGCCACCACAATTTGGTTAACACGAAATCTGCTCTCCAAATAACTAATAAATCCTTCCCATCTTCCCAGAGAACATCGGCACCGACATCTTCCTGCTCCCGGCCGATCAGCCCCTACCGCCTCAGCACGCCAACATGCCCACCAAGTGGCTCATCCGGTACTCGATGGTCCTGGGAGAAAGCTTCAAGCGTCCCTACGCCAACCCGCACCAGGAAAGCGGCTACCAAGTGCTGCGTCTCGTGACAGAACTGTTCCCCTCGACACTAGCGGCGGCCACCCAGGAACGCATCGCACCCATCTGGAGCCTGATCGGATTCCTAACGCTGTTGCTGTTCGGACTGGGTCAACTGTGCGCCATGTGGAAGCCAGTAGCCGGAGCGATTGGCGATTCGCCCTCCTCGATCGTGCTCAGCTGCGTGACGGGACTGTTCATGGGAATCCCGCTGGCCACCGAGAGTGGAATCACCATCATTCACTACCTGGACATGGTGCTGGGAGGTGCCTGGTGGCTGCTGCTCCTCTGGATCGGTCATATTTTGGCGATATTCCTGGTGAGAGGGCGACCGTTGACCAGTAAGTGTTTAGAAACTTTTGAGTTGAATGTGACTTATTACATGAATGCTTTCGCCATAGGTGACATACTGGTGAACGACCTGCGGCTTGGTCAGACGCTGTCGGCGTTTATTGCCTTCGCGTGGAACTTCTTGCTGCCGATCGGGATGATTTTCCTGTGCATCATGGAGTATCGGGTTTCCAATTCGAATTCGCTCTTCAACTGGAAGCACGGTGGATACTGGCCACTTTGGGCTCGTCAGATCGGTGGATTCATTCAGGTAGCCTTCCTGTTGCTGGTTCCCGTCGTGACGGTCGTACAAATCTATCGTTATCTCAGCAAGGGTCCGCCGGATATTCTGGATGTAAGTTTGATCTCGTTAGCTTTCGAGTTTGGTTGGATACATTTACGGTGCCTTTTTCAGCGATTCGATCAATTGCTACGCCCCACGATGGGGTCACAGGGCACCACCAACAGCAGCAGATTACAGTACACCCGAAGACCTGCACCCCCGCTTCCGGTGCGCACGATCAACTCCGGATCTACGGTGATTTCACTCGAATCGAGACCACCCCAGGACGATGCACCTCCCAAGTACACCCCACCGCCATCCTACACTACGGCCACCGGGGCCAGGATCGCCAAAATGCTAAGGAACAGCATCCGGCGAAGCGTTCGAAGGTAAGATAAGCAAGGTTTAGCGTTGCTCATACTCGCTTCAATCAACACACATTTTTTTCAGAATCATGGGTGAATCGAGCGGCAACCGTCAGCGGGGAGCCATCTCCATTCAGAGTGCCACCAATCCTGCCGGTGATGAGCTGCCTCCTCCGGACTACTCCACAATTCTGACAAACATTCCGCTTCAACCGGGCAACACCGTCTCCCTGCCGGCAGCCGGACTCGAAATGGGTCCCCGGGTTTTGTACAATAGCGAAACCCTCAGCGGTCGCCGTCGCCACAGATCTATGACAAATCCCAACGGATCCCAACAGCAGCAGCAGCAGCAGCAACAGCAACAGCAGAACCTCACCGCCAACGATGTACTGCAGATCCTTCGACCGGTCACCAGTGCCCAGACCTCAGCCGGGGAATCAGCCCTGAATCGGGTACCTTCGTTCGCCGCCGCTGCATCAGCATCGGCCATCGGGTACGGCAACGTGGACTTGGTGGTGCGGAACACTCTCACCCGGAGGCACTCGGTTGGGGGATCGGTGGAAAATTTGGTCCTCGGAGCAGCACCCATCGGCGATTCCAGCATCATCACACTCGCCGTCGAAGAGAACGACGATCGAAGTGACGCGGAACGACGCCGGAATGGTAACGATTCTGTGATATAGATTTTGAAAACATACACACTCACACAAACGGGGAGCTTGAATTCATACGATGAAGCTGTGTTACACTACTGTTAAGAGACCAGAGCGCGCTTCGGTATTGAAAGTTTTTTTTTTCTCCTATTGACAATGCATACTTTGCGTAGCAGCCACGGCTATGACATGCACGCAATTCTATCCTATCTATTTTAAGACGTCTCACACTATTATTAATATCTTTAAATACCACACTATTAGATGAGGATTTCCTACTCTCTCGAGCCTCTAAATTAGGTTAGGATGAAATGATAAATGACTAGGAATAGTGTAAATTTTTGCGCAGCGGAAACCGTTGACTTTAGCGAGCTGAATGAGATTTGTATTTTGACGCCGTCCGGTAGGCAAAGATTTTCGTTTTTTTTTTTTGTAATATGAGCACAATAATGATGAAAAGCTACGTTGGTTTTTTTTTTAGGTCGAAAGAAATTCCATGCTTCTATCATCCATCATCTGTGCAAAGCTTTTAAAGTGGACTTGAGTAATTCCCATTCTTATTCCGTTGATTGTTGGTTGGAGTTGTGAAAATGTGAGACACTTATAATCGGTTCTATCAATAAGCAACTTTTTCAGTTATTTCCAATATTCAGAAGAACCGTCCCGTAGCTCCCCACAAGATTTTTTTTTACAGTATGCTGTAATGTTTTACCGAATATGGATTTATTTTAAATATACAATTCGTTCAGTACATTTTATCTAGCCTTTGAGCTGTCAAAATTTATTGATTTGCGCTGTAAATTTCACTGAACGGTTGGTAAAGTTTACAATATCGTTCGGTAACGCTTTTACCGAAACATCTGTATATTATTCTCGTAATTAAATCATTGAATGTTTATTATTATGTGCTATACTTTTCTTTTTGTGTTCTTTAAATGTAATAATGTAATACCAATAGTTTATTTTACACGTATAAAACTGTTAAGTATATTTTACGCCATGTCCTAAAAAACAAATAAAACCACGGATAATTTGTACAGTTTATGACTCGGCTGATCATTAGGCCGCTTAACGTCTCTGGTTGGCTGAAATCTCTTGGAAAATAGTCAAATTCAATCAAATGAATTATCCGTTCGACGTAGATAGTTGAGGAACTTCGTAATGAAAAGTTCAGAAGATCGTGCATTTTTGAAACAAAAAATCATGCATTTTTGGAAAAGTTCAGGATTCTTCATACACTAAGGCTGCTGCCATGCTGAGGGAGGTGCATTTAGCGTTATATACAAAAGAAGAATTGATAAGGATAAGGAATAACATTCGATTTCACGCTTCGCGCGCCTCTTCGCTACCAAGATGGCAGCAGCCTAAGAAAAAATTAAACATTGTTTTCATGTGTCCCACAAATAGAGCTAATAAACTATAGAGGAAGAATAGCGCTGCCGTCGCTGTCGAAACATCTTTTCCTTGCATCTAATAGGAACACAACTGTCAAAGCGAGAAAAAACTATGCAGTTTTGTTTGACAGTTCTGTACCCGGTATTATCAACAATCAATACGAAACTAACGATTTAAAATTGGCTCACTACTTGACTAGCCTATTGGTCCCAAGCAAACGATTAACGTACCCCATTCTAGTCGAAATTCTAGTACTACGCAATGTTTGTTTTGATTCGCTATGAAAGTTTGACAGATAAAATGAGGGGTTATTGGTTTTTCTTATGTTGAGGGGTGAATCGATTAGCTTGGGACCGAAGCGAGTACCAGAGCTGAGCCAAAAAGTCGAGCACGTTATTTCTAGTCTTAGAGTTACCTCTATGGTATTATCAACAGTATTATCAACAATCAATACGAAACTAACGATTTTAAATTGGCTCACCACTTTAGTAGCCTATTGGTCCCAAGCAAACGATTAACGTACCCTATTCTAGCTGAAATTCTATTACTACACTATGTTTGTTTTGATTGGCTATGAAAGTTTGACAGATAACATCAGGGGTGTGTGGATTCATGCAGAACATGCAGGGGTGACTGAAATAGCTTGGGACTGCTTGGGACCGTTGTTCTGGTACTGAGTGAGCCAAAAATAATAATGATTTTCTTCGGGACCCAGTGGTCTTAGAGTACCCTCTATGATATAAATGCCACGCTGCTGCATCTGCTGACTAAAGTCGTCCTTGTTGTTGCTCAAAAAGCACTTGGAAAAGTACCCCGCCGATTGGGCAAACTGTGCCACGCAGCTCCGATGGAACCAGACATTCTGACAACACGGGGCACGAATCGATTCCAGCTTCCTGTACGGTCCCATCTCATCGTAGCAAATCCCTCAGGCTTCGGTCTCGGAGTATTTCACCTTACCCACCAGCGCTACGTGCTTATCGCACAACGACTGGAACGTATCCACGTAATGCGACAGGCACTCATTCTGCATCCCACAAAGCGTATGAAATGAACGGAAGCACTTCTTCACGCAACACAAAACGTTTGCATACCGTTTCTTGCAGATGTAACACTTTTGTCTTCGCATACGAGCTTCCTCATTTCTGAAGTCCTCCTCCATGTATCCGAAGATTCCAGCCACAAACGAAGTGACAGACGACTTACTGGCAAAGAAATCCATTTAAATAATGTGGTTCACTGTAATAGAATTTTCTTGGAAGCTTGTGCCATCATCCACCAGATGGGTTAGTTTTATTGTTTTGATTTGAACAAAGTTGATTTTGTGTACAATGATTCTTTGACAGTGTGCAAAGAGTGTATCATTTTGTCATTTTTTTATGCATTTCAGTTTTGAGTAGAGTGAAAGAGATAGAACCAAAACATTCTAGTACATTTGGTGAAAATGCTAGTTCAATCTAGTAGTAGTGTTGCCATGTGGTACAATCCAGTAGTAGTGGTGTTGCCATGTGGTACACTGTAAAATTGCAATAGACCTTTTTGACGTTTAATCGTCTTTCTCTATCTAGCACACATGGATGAATGAACGGTTTGTTTTCCCACTAATCTGTTTCCCTCTTGCTCGCACTCGTTCGATTTAAATGGTGCAGTAGTGTGCGCCGATTAAACGTAAAAAAGCTCTATAGCAGGTTAGTCACCAAAGTTTTCGAGCCGCTCCGTCTGTCACTTCGTTTGTGCTTTGCACACTGTCAAAGAATCATTGTACACAAAATCAACTTTGTTCAAATCATAACAAAAAAACTAACCCATCTGGTGGATGATGGCACAAGTTTCCAAGAAAATTCTATTACAGTGAACCACATTATTGCTGATTGCATCTGAAACTGGACTGTCCCAAAAATGCAAAAAGTGTGATAAAAGTGCACGTTTCCGTCAAATCGTATTGATGTCTTCGGAGCACTTATTGCTTGCATCATAAGGAATAAGTGCATCGAAGACACCAAGACGATTAGACGTAAACTTGCAGTTTTATCACACTTTTTTAATAAGTGAAAACGCACATATTAGTACAATTTGGTGTGAAACGCGCAATATTTAAATGGATTTCTTTGCCAGTTAGTCGTCTGTCACTTCGTTTGTGGTCAAACTGATGAATGCGGGTTTATCGCGTTCATGCGTGACGTCAGCGTGCAGCATCCTACTGAAACAAAATTGACACAGCAGCGGGGCCCTGATGTTTACTAAAAATGAACACACACGGCGAATGAGAACGACCCAAATTTGAGTTTAGTTAACTCATAATCGCCAAAAGTGCAGAAACTCAGCGATGAGTCAAATTTGTCTCATGGTTTCCTGTGGAAAACCTCAAAAATCTGCCGGAAAATGAGGAAATTGACGAAAAATTTATTCAGTCTCGGAATAGTACCAAAAGACTGAGTGAATCCAATCTTTACTTTTCTCAATTTCGGGAATTTTTCCCTGGAAAATCCTGGAAAACCTGGGAAAACATGAGGCAAATTTACTCATCGCTTAGTTCCTGCACTTTTGGCGATTATGAGTGAACTAAACTCAAATTTGGGTCGTTCTCATTCACCGTCTAGGGATTCACCAGGAAACGGACAAGAAGGAGACACTTTAAAAGAACGTCAGAATGACCACCAATATCTAGGCAGCGCACTTAAATGTAAAAAAAAAACACTCACTTAACAACAACTCTATGCCAGAAAGATCCATTTTGGCGTGGTACGGGATTTAGAAATTCTTCAAATGATTTGTTTTGTTGCTGTGTCACTTCGACGACTGTGTAGATTTCTTCGAACTCTTTTTACTAATAACAATTGTCAATAACAATGAAAGAAGACCACATAGGGCGTTCGTTAAATATATGTTCCATAGTTGATTCAAATTTCAAACCTTGTTTTTCATAAACTCGTTGGAAAAGCATATTGTATAATCGGTAATCGGTTCGAGGAAAACATCGAAATGCTTATTTTTGCGACTTACGTCCTTTTGACAAGTTCTGCCTGAAATCACGACTAGCAAAATAGGCCTGCTTGGTTTGTTAAAATAGTTTGTCCGGACCAACATGAATATTCGGATATTTTTCAAATTAAAAACAAGTAAATCTGTCGTAAGTTAAAGTTAAATATGTATCTGAAAATCATCTTAAACAAAACTACTATGTTGATAACTTCAAATAAACTTATCCTAGTTGAACGCTGATGTTTTCTCTAATGGTGATTGCTGAATATGGAAGCTACCGATTTGCCTTTGGTTTGTTTTTTTCCGTCGATCTTGTTTTCCGTGCTGAGCACCAATGCTACCGACGTGCCAGGAAGGCAGCTCCCACACCTGGACCCTACCTATCGACCCATCAACTCATGAACCGGGGACCAACGGCTTTACTTCCCATCCGATGGAAGGCGTGATCAGAGATGTTATGCCTCAGAACATCCCGGCGGCGCCGACTGGGATTGAACCCAGGCCTGCTGGGGTGAGAGGTAATCACGCTTACCACTACACCACCGGCGCCGTTAGCAACCGATTTGGAAATCAGCAATTCTCTCTAAATGTGTGGACTAAGCTTACTAGCCTAAAAAAACAAAAAAACCTTCCTACGACAAATGTCAGATTCCGAGAATATTATCAGCTCAATCGAATATGTAACGGTTTCAGCTAACAACCAATTTCTTAGTCTTCAATTCTCCTCTATCACACAAGAGAGTAGTACTCTTTTATGCCTATCAGCACTAAGTCTATTCTATGTTTGATCTTTGATTATTATTTTTGTTTTGTTTTTAAATCTCGCATTCTTCTAGCAATAAGGAAAACGTGGAAATGGCATGGGATGTACACATTTAAATTGAAACGACTCACACATTTATAACGTCATGCTAAATGCTCTTTACGGTTTAAACGCCAGGTTTTGTAACATATTTTTCAATATCAGGAATCACGCATTTTCGTTATTTTTTAAACAAACAAAGAACAATGAACTATCGACTCCGTAATTCTTAAAATGCCAAAATCAAGAACGAAATTTGGGAAAAATTTTCTCAAGACACTGACACTGGCCTCATGGAAGCAGGCATCGGACTCAGAATACAATTTAAACTAATTCAACAAAACAACACTCAATGGACCACCTACTTAATAGCTAATCAATTTTACTTATTCGAACGAAACTGCCGCCGTAGTTCCTGCAGTGCCACCTTGGCCGCTGCCCGCTTAGCGTCGTCCTTGTTTTGGCCAAATCCGAATGCCTCGTGCTGCTGATTACGAATTCGGTACCGCAACTTCACCAGAACCGTATCCTCATCCTGAATGGCCCGGCTGAAGCACGGCGAACACGGCGGCTTGAACTCGTACAACTGTCGTACGATCTGGATCGGCGTATTCTCCGTAAAGTTCAATATTTCGTGGTGCATCAGTCCGTAGATAACCCTCCACGTCACAGCCATATCGTTTCCGGAATCCAGGAATACCGCTCCCACCAAGCTCTCGAATACGTCGCCGAGTGCCTTCGGGACGTCGACGTAGTCGGCCATTTTGCGGTCGGTTTCCTCCATGAGCAAATTGACCTGGTCGGTAATTTCGTGCTCGTGTTGCTCCTGGAAGGCTACGAACTTGTTCACCGTATCGGAGAAGGAGGCCGATTCCGCCAGGATGTACAGGTGCAGCCCATGGCGAACGAGTAGACACGCCAATGTTACGTTGTTAACCAATGCCGAGCGTAGATCCGTCAATTGACCGGGACTCATGGTTGGATTCTGTTCATAAATATACGAAGAAATGAGGAAATCCAGTACGGCATCTCCGAGGAATTCCAGCTGCTGATAAGATCCGGTGATCCGATTGGTTGGATAGGATGCGTGAGTCAGGGCCTGCAACAGATAGGTTCGATCTTTGAAACTGTACCCGAGGATGCTCTCGATGCGGGTGTGATTCTTCAGGAAACAATCGATTTCCTGGATCTGAACATCGGTCTTCATTCTTTGATTTTCGATCTTCTCGTCCAGAAGTTTCAGGATATCGTGAGTTTCCGGTAGCATACCGAAGTGGGTTAGCAGTCTGAAAGATCGCTTGATGCCTACCGCACTGACGCAAACACCCAGCAAAGCTTCCATGGCATCGGCAGGAGTTTTGTCACCCATGGTCTGGTGTACGAGGTAATTTTGCATCGGAGACGTATCCGGCTGGTTACCTTTGAGATCCAGCTGGGTTATGAAATCTTCGCCGTTGTTCGATTCCACCGTGCCAGCCTTAACCTCCTCTTCGGACAAATTCAATCTGTACAACACTCTTGCGGAATGGTTCACCTTGATCATTGCTTCTTTGATTTTCAAGGGAACCGTTGCCAGCGGTGGTTGCCAGTCGTTCTTTGGATCGAACTTATGGATCTTCATCATGCCGGGCAAACCATATCGCATCGCGCAGTAGATCAAGTTGCGATTACTCACGATTTGGCCCTTGACTGCCGTGAGGAAACCTTCATGCCATTCCTTGTGGTATTTCACCAAATAGAGCGAAATGGAAAACTTCAAGAACGCATCGCCCAACAGCTCAAACCGTTCCAAATCGAATACATCGGCCGAAGACTTTGTGGTCAGCGCTTTGATGATGTGTTTCTGCTGCAAATTTACGTGCGCCGTATTTTGCAGGTTTAAATAAAGCAACTTAATCTCGAACTTCTCATCCAACGGAACGTTCATAATCGCCGCCCTCAATTCCCTTCTGGGACTGCCCAGCGTTCGTCTGTGCAGTGCCGACGTGTATGATGTACTTATTTTCTCCGCGGTTAACTCCCGAACGTTCAGTGCGGAAAACTTATTCACAAACGTGTTGTAATAGTCCAAATCCAATTTAGACAGCTTATCCCAGCTCCGTTCGATATCGACCGGCTCTTCGTCGTCCTGCCAAGGCATGGGAACATCTCCCGTGAACGAATTCAACTGATTACGAGCCAATTGACCCAAGTCCTCTGCACCCGTCAAATACTTCTGGGCTTCCTCCAGGTCAATCTCGTCATCCTCGTCTTCTTCATCTTCGAAGACCAATTCTTCAATTGCTTCTTCCAGCTGCTGTTTTCCCTTGCGTTCCTTGTACTCAACTTCGACGTCTTCGATCACCCGGTTCTCCAGGCAGCCTACATTCACAGCGGTGGCCAAATCCACCCGAATATTTTCCGCCAACAGCAGATAGTTGATCCGATGAAGTGCACTGGGCAGAATCGTAGCCTTCAGCCAATAATCGGCTGGGAATTGGTAGTTGTGGCACAGCTCCGGAATCAGTACCTCTTGGAAGCGCCAGTGCTTGGAGCGGGTGCTCTTACCGTCATCTTCCACTCCCGGGTTCAACCGATTGAGGTAACTCGTGATGCCTTTCACTTCGACGAGGAATTGATTCTTCTTTACCACGGCTAGATGGTATGCCCGGCAGAAGTAATCAGCGTAAGATCTGGAAACAAAGGAAAGAGTAATGAAATGGATGTTTGAGAGTAGCAAGCTTTCAATATTGTTCTATTTCGCCTTTCTGCTCCAGGGAAGGTTGTTAATCGATAAATGATGGTTTTCGGCGATAACGGTAACTTGTAGGTAGTGAACGAACGATAATTTTGACAAACCCTTCATTGAAGACCGTATCGGAAGCTATGCCTTAGCTTACCTTTCCAGGTCCTGCGTACTTCTACGTCTTGTACTGGCCGGATTCGAGGCAAATAACATTTTGGCGGGAGTGCTGTAGTTACACAAGTAACCAACAAGTCCGCTACTTTGCTTTCTGCTAAATAAGCAAGGGATCAAAAATATCTCATAATGACAACATGACAAGCGATCAACGCCGAATGATTTCCTGCCTTTGCAATATAGTTTGCATTCCTTTGCATTTGGATATTCCCCACCATCCCTCTCCAAATGGGGAGTTTGGTAAAGAGAGATGATCAACCCGATTCGTACCTTCATCAAAGTTGTCCTTACTCTCTCTCTACTCTCTATGTACAATTCTCACAATGCCGTATTCTAACGGAACTATCAACACCGACGAACCGACATGCCACTGGAGCATTTCATTTGTCCGCTATTCGATTTGTCAAATGAGCGGTTCAATCTATCAAACGGGCGATCAGATATGTCAAACGAGGTGAGACGCAAACCAAGTCAATATAAACTTTACGTGTGTACGTGTCCTTGCTTACGATATGTCGCGATCGGATGAGTGGATGGCGGTAGTGTTTAACGTATTTTAAATATGGCGTCTTGGGCAAGAATTTGAATGTGGCTTCTGTTATGTACTCACTCTCTCTTGGGGTAGATCATTGCCCTTACCACAACAGCACAGACGAAAACCTACCTTGTGATCGAGCCACCGACAGCTATGCACTTCACAGCCACCAGCATATGGATCGAATAGTCACCGTTGGCTGTACACGCTACAGCCAACGGTGACTATTCGATCCATATGCTGGTGGCTGTGAAGTGCATAGCTGTCGGTGGCTCGATCACAAGGTAGGTTTTCGTCTGTGCTGTTGTGGTAAGGGCAATGATCTACCCCAAGAGAGAGTGAGTACATAACATTTGGTCCTTCGAGCCGGATATCAACCGGTGTGATACGTCCATCCGCGAATATTCGTGACCCTTCCTTCCAACGAGTTTGTGCCCGAATGAGTAAAAAGTGTTTGAAACCTACGATCGTAGTACAGTAGTACCCTTCAAAACTGTGAGTGTTGAGAGTGAACTGTAGTGAAAAGTGTAATCATGACGAAATTGAAGCAATTAATTCATCAACGAGGACAAGTAAAGGCGCGAGTGACAATGATCGTCCAGAAGCTAAACGAAGCTATGGATGAACCTGAAACAGCGAGCCTTTCCCAGTTGAAGGCTTATGAGAAGAAATTGGAACTACATTATTCGGAGTATGCGGTGAAGCATGACTTGATCGTGGCTCAGTGTACTAGTGAAAACATGGAGGATCAGGACAATAAGTTGGACCAGTTCGACGAGCTGCACACGGAGGCGTTAGTGGAGCTGAATCAACTGTTGGAGTTACTTCGTGCTGATCCACAACCTAATAATGGAGTTCCCCAAGTGATTGTGACTCAGCAACCTCTGAAGACGCCGATCCCAACCTTCGATGGGAAGTACGAAGGTTGGCCAAAAATTCAAAGCTCTCTTCAATGACTTGATCCGAAAGTGTGGCGACTCCGATGCAACTAAACTGCAATACCTGGACAAGGCGCTGATCGGTGAAGCTTCTGGTATCCTTAATGCCAGAATTATCAACGACAACAACTATCAGCAAGCATGGGGAGTTGTTAGAGGAGCGCTTTGAAAATCCGAGAGTGATTATTGACACCCATATTTCCGGTTTATTGTCGATGAAACCGATAGCCAAACAAAGCTTCAAGGAGCTAAGAAACCTTATCGATACATGCAATCGCCACGTTGAAGGATTGCGGTTCATGGAGCAGGAGGTTGTTGGAACAGCCGGTCTAATCGTGGTGAAGCTACTTACAATGTGCCTTGATGGAGAAACGCGGAAGCAGTGGGAACTCACCATGGAGCACGGAGAACTTCCTGACCTCGAAGGAATCCATGAAGTTCCTAAGAATTTATTGCCAGGTACTTGAGAGATGTGAAGTAGACAAGGCGTCCTCAGCTAAGGCAGCTGTTAAGCCTCCTATGATGGGGAAAACCAGCTCATCGCAAAGAACCTCCAATCCAGCAACATCCAGTTCACCGGAGAATGTGTGTGAAATATGCGCGGGTCAACACTGCAATTACAAGTGTCCTTCTTTCTTGAGCATGAGTGTTGATCAGCGTGTTACCAAGGTGACGCAAATCGGACTATGTTTCAACTGCCTTAGGAAAGGCCATCAAATCAGGGCTTGTCCATCAGATAAGTCATGCGCGAGGTGTTCCAAAAAGCATCATACCATGTTGCACTTCGAGCAGGTATCCCAAGCTGAGCCGAAGCAGAAAATTCCAGGTGGAACATCCAAGCCGCAGGAGATGCAGACAGCAGCAGCTGTTCCTGAGGATCCTGTGTCTACAGCCTGTTCCAGTGTGCAACAACGAGCGAAACAAGTGTTTTTGATGACCGCATTGGTGAATGTTACGTCAAAGAGTGGAAGGAACTTCAAGTTGCGTGCTCTCTCCGATTCCGGGTCTCAGATCAACCTGGTTTCTGAATCTGCTGTAAAACTGCTAGCGCTTCCGAAGTATCCTGCCAATGTGCCAGTCGTAGGAGTGGGTGGCGCCAGATCTCAAATTTGTCATCGTGTGATCCTGAAGTGTTTCTCCGACTACACCGATTTCCAAAGTGACATGGTCTGTTTGGTGACAGCTAGAGTGACAGGAAAGATTCCATCTGTTCCAGTTGACATCTCGGAGTGGAAGTTCCCGAGTGGTATTGTGTTGGCCGATCCAAGCTTCAACGAACCGAAAGAAGTGGACCTACTGATCGGTGCCGAGCTGTTTTTCAAAACCCTGAAACAAGCTCAGCTGAAACTCTCTGATAATCTACCCGTACTGTACGAGCCTCAGTTCGGATGGGTTATTGCCGGTGCTTTAGAAGAGTCCGAGGAGGAAGTCGTCAACGTGCTGTGCGCCACAAATGAGGATCTGTTGCTGAAGAGCATTCAGAGGTTTTTCGAGCAAGAAGAACTTCCAGAAGAAAAAGTCCTGACGAATGAAGAGCAAGCGATAGAAGATCACTTCTGCAAAACTTATCGACGAGAGGAGGATGGCCGATTCGTGGTTCAACTACCGTTCCGTGAGTCCATCAATTAACTAGGAAACTCCCGATCATTAGCGTTGAAGAGGTTCCTGTCAATTGAGAAACATCTAACCAATAAACCCGAGATGAAAGAGATGTACCAAGAGTTTATGCAGGAGTACAAGGACCTTGGTCATTGCCACGAGATCCGTGAGGAAGACGATCCGCCTGGCCAACAGAGCTACTATTTGCCACATCATGCTGTACTTAAACCTACAAGTACCAGCACAAAGTTACGTGTTGTATTTGACGCCAAGGTGAAGTCTAACGGATTATCCCTCAACGAAGTTCTGATGATCGGCCCGAAGATTCAGAACGATCTGTTTACAATCCAATTACGTTTCCGGATGCACATATATGCATTTTCTGGAGACGTTGAGAAAATGTTTAGACAAGTGAAACTTGATCCAAGACAGACACATTACCACAGAACTTTCTGGCGTGACCAACCGATGGACCCGATAAAAGTGATGGAGTTGTTAACGGTGACCTACGGGACGTCTCCTGCATCGTTTTTGGCAGTGAGGTCCATGGTTCAACTAGCGAGAGAGGAAAGAGCCAACTTTCCTGCAGCTGCAGAGGCGATATTAGAGGACTGCTACATGGACGATATATTGAGTGGTGCCCCAACACTTGCATCCGCGAAGCAACTGCGAAGTGATATCGAGGAGCTTATGATGAAAGGAAAATTTCCTATCCGAAAATGGTGTACCAACGACGACAAAATTCTTGAAGGTGTTCCGGATCAAGACCGTGAAAAGCTAGTTCGAATAGGAGATTCTGGTACCAACGAAGCGATTCAAGCTTTAGGTGTTCTGTGGGACCCAAGATGTGATCAGTTCCTGTTTTGGAGAAGCCCGGAAGTGATGCAACCGGATGTGAAAGTGACTAAAAAGTATGTTCTCTCTCAAATCGCCAAACTGTTTGATCCCCTTGGTCTCATATCACCTGTGATCGTTTTGGCTAAGTCCATCATGCAGCAATTGTGGGCTGATGGTCTGGGATGGGACGAGACCCTAGAGGGCGAGTTGTTGAGTAGATGGATGACCTTACATCAGTCATTGGTACAACTAAACGAGATACGAATACCGAGATGTGTTATGGTTCCTGGAGCTCAACGTATTGAGATTCACGGCTTCTCTGATGCGTCGTGTACTGCTTATGGTGCATGCGTTTATTTGCGTTGTGTTCATGAGGACGGGGCAGTGTCAGTTAGGCTGCTTTGCAGTAAGTCAAGGATTGCCCCTCTGCGTCGTCTCACAATACCTAGATTAGAGCTGTGTGCCGCTGTGGTATTGGCCAAACTGGTTAGTGTAGTGATCCCTATTCTGAAAACCGAATTCCACGATATCAAGCTGTGGTCTGATAGCCAAATTGTGAATCCGGATCAACTTCAAGTCTACGTCAGAAACCGAGTTTTGGATATGAACAAACTGACTAGTGCCTACGAGTGGAAGTACGTCAGATCCGAGAATAATCCTGCGGATTTGGTGTCCAGAGGGTGTTACCCTGGTGTGTTGCATCGTTCTGATATGTGGTGGAATGGTCCACTATTTCTGCAAGATGTTAACTACGAAATCCAGGAGACTCCGGTGATTCAAGATGAAGAGTTACCAGAAATGCGACAAGTTCAAGTGTGTAACCTAGCGGTCGATGTTGAAGACGATCCGGTATTCGAGCGGTGC